GTGTATTGCTGCTGCGCTGCAAGTGTATTGCTGCTGCGCTGCAAGTGTATTGCTGCTGCGCTGCAAGTGTATTGCTGCTGCGCTGCAAGTGTATTGCTGCTGCGCTGCAAGTGTATTGCTGCTGCGCTGCAAGTGTATTGCTGCTGCGCTGCAAGTGTATTGCTGCTGCGCTGCAAGTGTATTGCTGCTGCGCTGCAAGTGTATTGCTGCTGCGCTGCAAGTGTATTGCTGCTGCGCTGCAAGTGTATTGCTGCTGCGCTGCAAGTGTATTGCTGCTGCGCTGCAAGTGTATTGCTGCTGCGCTGCAAGTGTATTGCTGCTGCGCTGCAAGTGTATTGCTGCTGCGCTGCAAGTGTATTGCTGCTGCGCTGCAAGTGTATTGCTGCTGCGCTGCAAGTGTATTGCTGCTGCGCTGCAAGTGTATTNGACACTGAAGCAAGCATCAGACACTGAAGCAAGCATCAGACACTGAAGCAAGCATCAGACACTGAAGCAAGCATCCGACACTGAAGCAAGCATCAGACACTGAAGCAAGCATTCATTCATACCGTCGCCGAGCATCGAGTGCAGGTTCGAACAACATTTATTTTTCACACAAGTCTTCAGTGCACAAGTTCGCGAAATTGTTTTTTATGAATGATGATCCTACCTAACAGAATACTTTTGCACGGTTGGTTGCAAGCTTAGAAGACGGAGCCCCAGCCTTCAATACTTTATGTAAATAATAATAACAACTGAAAAATTTTGTAAATTCCTAAAAAGGAAATTTTATCTGGACACTTCAACTCTTTGTAGAAGTGAAGCAGGTGTAGGAAACACTTTTTTCTGCAAATGTGAAATTAAGTTGGTTTCGTTGCAGGAGCAATGCAGTTCAAGCGTAACAATACCACTCAAAATATTCAATTTGTTGTTCCTAAATTTTCATCATTATTTCCATCGATTGTGTTTGGAATTGAAAATTATAGGTAGAAAATAATGAAATAATGTTCATTGTGTTATTGTTCTACGACGTGCGCATTCCACAGCTTGCTTGCTCCGGGCACCGCATTCCCGTCCGACAATACATGCGTTCAATTCAATCTATTTAGGAACCACTATGCGCGTGCATCAACTTAGATTATTTACAGCGAAGCTAGAAATGCATTTTAATATCATTGACTCTGCATATTAGGTCAGCGGATATGGCGAATGGTTATCTTCAACCAAAATTTTTTCAATTAAAATTTAAAAGTTTCCATGATATTTTCACTAAACGTTTTGATGCACTACAGTCACATTTTTCTGGATTGCTTCCTGTGCACAAGGCAGAGCTCACTGACGACGTACACCTCACACGACGTCCAGAGCGACACTGGTCACTGCAGGCAAGTGTTAGCCGCAGCTATGGAGACCACAGGCGTAACTACGGCTGCGTTTGACACAGTTAAGCCTCTAACCTTGTTAACATGCCGTAGCTGCATGTACAATTCGGTGCATCTAATGGCTTCCATTTCATCTTCAAAAAAAGGTTCATGGTAGATTGCTGAATTAAATTTATTCACACACTATCAGGCAGCAGTGATGATTGTAACTGTAAATTTCTGACTTGGTCTCAACACGTTACATGTGACACGACCCACCGCGGTTGCCAGTTGGCCTAAAAACGGCCAAGTCCGGGTACCAAAAAGCCATATTATCCAATATTTACCAGTAAATTTGAGAGTTCCTGTGTGAAAATTAGATTTTTACACTTATTACACTTGTTTTCGTTCATTTTAAAATTTAATAAGGAAAAGCGCCGTCATAAATTCTTTCCCGTCAATGCAATTGAAAAAAAAACAAATAGCGGAATTTGTCCAGAAAAAAAGACCCTGCAACCCACCGGTGGATCGTATCGCACTTAAAGTGTTAACCTCATGAGCATATTCTTCAGGAATTTTTCCAGTTTTTTTTTACCGTTGTCTCACATAAATTTTAAACATTTTAAAGGAAATCCTTTGAATATTGTTAAATTTTTCAGAAACTTTAACCTTGCTTACTGATTTTTGCACGGTATTAGTTTTCGGCCTTTAATGTCAAGGGAAAAGCTATAAATACTGCGGTCAACCTTTAAAACAGCCTCATCTGACTAGCCTCGCTCTCAGGTACACCAAACGCAATCTCTGGTTTTGTCAAAGAATATTGAACCTCATTCTATTCGTTTTATCGCTGTTGCAAATTTATGAACAAGTATTTATTTGTAGGAACCTATTCTGAATGATTACTATGAAAAACTTGTCTGTAAGTAGAAAAGTCCTGTGACTTTCTGCGTAAACAATATTTTCTAACACCATTAACTTCCTTATCATTAAAGTCACGCTTCAATGCAGCAAGGTTAGATAGGATCTCAATAATGACGTTTGCTGAATATTTTCTTTTCTTGTGAATCATTGTGAACAAAAAACAATCTACCATGACCAACGTACACAGCAATCTATCATGACAAGCCAACACTGTAATCTACCTTGACAAATCAACAAAGCAATCTACATTGACATGCCAACACTGCAATCTACCATGAGAAGCCAACACAGCAATCTACCATGAGAAGCCAACACAGCAATCTACCATGAGAAGCCAACACAGCAATCTACCATGAGAAGCCAACACAGCAATCTACCATGACAAGCAACAATGCAATCTACCATGACAAAGATGTTCTCGTATATGTCAAGGTCTATACGAGGATGCGCCGGTATTCTCGTCAATAATTTCACCCCGCCTGCGACGTCAGAATTACAGATGGACTGTCCGTGCTCCGCAGCCCTCGTGCTCCCTTCTTTTGGTCAACAAACTTTGACAGGAAAAACAATGCCTGCCTTCGTCTTCCACTCCGTGATGAGTGCGTCGATAAACTGCAGCTGCGGACCGAACAAAAGCCTCTATTTTTTGCTCCTATCATTGAGGTTTCGTTGCTAGTCTCATTGTGGGTTCATACTCGTAATAATTTGTGGGAGAGAGGTTTATTGGTTTAGTAACAAGTGAATAATGCATTAAATAAGTTCGTTTTTTTCTTACCCGTGATATTATATTAAATTTTCAACCAAATTATATGTCGTCAGGATGCAAAACTTATAACTAAATTGGCATTAATTAAAATTACGCAGAGAAAAGTTAAACTGTTTTGCTAAAGCAACGCCATGAATATTAGCTCAACAGTAGAATGCTAGTTTTGGCCAATCTAGGATTAGTTCCAATGATTCTATATTCTGCGCGACGGAAGAGTATTTGCGGATGTAATTTCAAATGTCATTATTACGTATAATTTCACAAAATTCTAATAAAGATGGAGCTAAAGGAACTCGACTTATTGCAGCGCGTTCAGCCCACAGTCCAGTAAAAAGTATCTGAGAGAGTAAATGGCAAGGCCGGCCAGCAGCTGAATATTTCAAGAAGCTCTTACTCTGTCGATGGCCCGACATAACCAGCCTAAACAACTCAGCTAGAACGTCGGCACAACGTAGGTACAACGCAGCTACAAACGCAGACACTAACGCTGGCACAACGTAGGTACAACGCAGTTACAAACGCAGACACTAACGCTGGCACAACGTAGGTACAACGCAGTTACAAACGCAGACACTAACGCTGGCACAACGCAGCTACAACGCAGTTACAAACGCAGACACTAACGCTGGTACAACACAGCTACAACGCAGTTACAAACGCAGACACTAACGCTGGTACAACACAGCTACAACGCAGTTACAAAGTAAGCACAACGCCGGCATCTGATATTTATTTAACGAGAAAATAAAACGCAAAACAAGCCAAAGCGAATTTAGCATAATTTCAATTAAATTATTATAAAGTATTTTTAATATTTTACATAATATTATTATTTTCTTTTTAGTACTTAAATTCTTGATTTGTATGCGATTTGAGCAAAAAAATTTTATAAATCCATATATTTACCGTTTATACGTAACTCTCTAACTGTTATTCTTAATCCGATCAATTAAGCTCTACCATGCAAGTGTTATAAGATTAGCAGCAGCTGAGAGTTTGAGAAATATTCAGTAGGTTCTTTAACATGCACGCCTAAAATGAGGTCCACTCTACGCTATTGTTTTACATTTCATATAGCAGGCGCTATCCGATTGATTCTCATGACACGGCACCTGCAGATTCAGTCCAGAAATTCCCAACCTAATAGGCGTTGACTAGATAACTTTAAATGTATAGGAAGCAATCTAGAATGAATATTGCTTGTTGATATATAAAAATATCATTAATAAAGGCTAACATTATTTTCGAGAGGTCAATCCAAATTTTATAAAGGTCCTGTGATTAGTAAATGGAATATGGTTCCCATTCTCCGTAGATTGTAGAGCAATTAATTTCGGTATTCTTATTGTTAGGTTTCAAATCAGATTTAGAAGGCACTGATAGCAGTCACTAATCGGAAAAATAGACCCAATCCTTGTTTGGGTCTTTACTGAGCATTCCTGTCGTACGTAAGCAACCCATATCTTAGCAACGTCGGCCAGCCAGTGTCCTTAATTTACATTGATTTTTAGTAACGAATGTTGCCTATATTTGTAAGCTGAACTATGAGATCAAATTGTGTGATTTGGTAGAATCAGTGTATATTTGTATATAAAATCTGAGGCAGCATTATTGGTTATATATAATGTTCGAATTAAGCCATTCAGGATTATTTTGCATGTCAATTGTTCTCGTTCCTAAGAATTGGTTCTAATTTTTAGATTTTCTGGGCCCGAGCAGCTCTAAAGAGGGTGAAGGTCTCTTTCCAAGTCCCAGGTGTGATTGTGAGGACATTCGGAGTAGTGAATAAAGTTGAAAGATTGCACGAACTATCCGGCGCACAAAGGCACAAATAGAATGTGCTTGGCATCCTTTAGGCCAAGTTGATGAATTGCCTTAATTTTTTTTAATTCGAGGGTGACTCACTTAAATTCGCGGGTGTCTCACTCGGGCTGCCCGCCCCATTAGGGTTGGGCCCGCGCCTGCTGACTCACCCTGGCTGGGCTGTTAGTGTGTCGTGCTGGGAGCCCTGGACGGCGACTGCTCTACCCCGGTCCTCCGACACAAGCGCTGCTTTCCTCAGGCGCTCCACATTCTGCAGGCGCAAGACAACGCGTTATTCCCACGAGTGATTGTTATTGAAGGCATGGCAGTGAGTGTGGGGATTGTGGGACGAAATATGTGGGGATTGTGGGATAAAATAGGTGATAATTTTGGGATAGCGTACCTGCAAATTGTGGGACAAGGTATGTGGGAATTGTTTATTTGACAGGTTACGTAATGGAGTAAACAGTGCACGTTTTATGTAGGGAAATGCTTTGATTTCAATACCGTTACATTATTGTATTTTCAAACACTTTAAATGAAGACAGAGTAGATAGGTAAATAATTTGTTGACTCCACCTTAAGTTCGTATTGGAAGCTGGGATTAAACATAATTTTAATTTAATGGAATTATAAGGCTTCCATTCGCTAAGTTTCGCTTCACTGAGACTTCTAAGGTTAAGGTCTAAATTGAGCGTTAATATGGTACATATTTAACTAAAATCATGAATTGAAAATGGATTGAAATGAATTTATATACAAGGATTAAAAGTTAATTGAATGAATATTAGTTGGTTCGTTTGTTGAACAAAGGTTCGTTTAGGTTTAAAGATGTTAATTCTCAATAAGTACAATTATTACGATGAACTTTTCCTCATTACAATACTATCCAATCGAATAAAGAAATCAGAAAGGCAATAAACGGTTGAAATTTAATAATTCTATTATGATCTGCTTTTGCTCAGATAGAATCGCTAAAAAAGTGTCTGTGGAAATGAATGGTATTTAAATTGTTCCATCAATAACCCTCGACGTAATAACAAACTTTATCAATAAATAAAATAAGTTCTAAGTGAACTAATATAGAGCACAAGTGTACCTGCTAAAACTACAACATACTAACTTCAAAGCTTGCGCTGGAAGCTTCACTGTGCCATTTCTCTTCAGCAATTCTTAGTTTATAATCGTTTGGGCTAAAATTGTCGTCGAATTCATCCACTAAGACTTCGTTTTCTTCGTATATCTTGGAACCGTTTTCTTTGGATGACGAGGGAGGGGTGACTGCGCTGCTCGTCGCGAGGCGTTGAGTCGAAAGCGGAGGAATTTTCGTCTGTGACGGTCCTATGGGATGGACGACGGTAACCGCATAATTTCAATGCAGCGCTCACCGTCATCTAACTTTACAATTTTACATGCATATTTTTATGTTTTATGGCTATTTAATATTAGTTAGCCTTAGGAAGAACTTAGTATGTCTGTCGGTTTTTTGATTGAACTGGATAGCTAAAACTGTTATAAGCATTGCATAAATCAGCTATATACCTGTCCCAATATTAAATATACTAAGTTTCCTTCGAAAAACTGATTACAAAGCGATTCAAATGAGCGCTAAAAGGTATAACGCATGCCTATACGCCTTGTGAGGTATAGGTGAATGTCAATTCGTTACCTTGTTCCATCGGTTGTAACGCTGTACTTTTCCTGTGCTGCTGGGGTGAACTGTTGTTGACAATGCTGCTCCTGCTCTCTCCTGCGCTATACTTGTTTGGCAGAAGCGCGAATCCTGGACACGCGACAAACCACAATGCTTTAGAATTGGGCACTGAATGGCTAAAAGTGGAATAAATCATATGGCAATACATATAAATATTGAGATGACCCCGTGAACGACCGAGCTCACAAATCTGCGGTAATTTTAACGAAAATTTGAGTAACACGGAAATAACAATTAATATAAAAAATGAACATAATACTTGATTGATATTTTTTGAATTTATCATGCAATACAATTTTTCACTGGAATATCTTGGAAATGATGTTAAGAAGCATGCATCAGGCTACCAATTGTAAAAAAATTCTAAAAAGACGCATATAAAATAAATTCAAATTTAAGTCCCATGCAAAACTTAAGCTCCTTGCCAACAGTATTTCTACACAAATATCTTATGGAAATAAATTTTATGGGAAGCATTAAAAATACGTACGATCCTCATCGCTGCTAAGTTTAGAGTTTGAAATTATTATGAAGTCGATGCTAAATTAAGATGAAGCGTGCGGACGCTTGACGTCGACTATACTGAATAGCCATATTTATTACGTTCAAAAAATATTTGCGCAATTAATAAATTGACTTGCATAATTAACGAGCTTTGAAATAATTAACATAGCACAGTCGTTCATTTCTAGCGACAACGGCAGTCACAGCGTGAATATAACAAGTGATGGCCGTCAGAGGGCCTAGAAAAAGTTTTCTGTTGACATTTATCCTGGAAACCACCGACGTGGGATGTAAAAAACAACACTCGAAGACATTGCTTTATTTGAATAAATTTCAATCTCGAAATTTTCCGGCTGACACACTTTTCGTTGCACCAGAAGTGGCGTTCTTGCGTTCATACGCCAATATTGATAGTTTTGCTTATGAAGAGTGTGTATTTGATGAAATTATTGAAAAAAATGATACTGAAAATCCAATTGAAATAAGGATTGAAATATTTCAAGCCAGATATAAATGGTCTATTGTTGTCTCCATCTTGGTCGGTTGAAGTTATCTATATCATTAACTATTATATTAATAAACTATTACGTGAAAGCAACACGTCTAAGATCTCTACATTTACTAGACTTGTTTGAGCTTAAATAATGATGGCGTAGAGATTATTGAGTTAAAAAGTTCTCCCTAACTCTTATAAATCGCGTAAAGAATTAAATGCTTCCCAGTAACTTTAATATTGCAGTTTTCATAGAAAATTTTATCTTATATTCGAAATGTCGCACAACTAATTATAAATTTTTATATAACATTTAAAGAATACCTTACCTTTATCAAGACTGCTGGTGCGCCTGACGGGCGCTGCGGGAGGGAGCTTGCCGAGATACACGCCCCGGTAGCCTAATAGGAACAAACTCTACACATGTACACTACTGCCGAAATACCAATGAAGTTAGATAGGAAATAAATAAACAACAATAAATGTTGATAATTGAGAAGGAAGAAGCAACGAATGGCAACGAAATAAAATTATTGATAGTCCATTACGTGCAGGCAATATAATGGTACGCACAAACCGACCACATTCACAACAAATTTTGAGAGGTTAATCGGAGTTTGCTTGACAATAATTACAGCAATTACCACAAATGTAACTACTGGCATAAAAAAGGCAGCAATAGAACCATGCTATACGACTCAAGCAATTAAGAAGTACCTGAAAAATATAGTAGATTTGGCTTAAATAGGAAGCCGAGTTGAGGATTTGCTGATGAAAATAAAGAAAAATACATAAATTGCTTACTGAAGAATTTCATGGAAGATCGTTGAATTTATGGCCTTATGAGGTGCGCAATCGTCAGCAATCAAGCTTTATGCATTAACTTGTGACGTGTAAAATGCTGATTACGGCAGATCAAAATATTTCAAGCTTAAGTTATAAAGTTAATAAAAAATTTTTTGTTGTAAAGAAGGCGTTTAATTCAAGCCAAAGCCGAAACGCACACTTATTGCCGTGGCCATAAATTTTAATGAAGAAAAAATGTAAAGCATATTAAAATTCTGAAGAACTACGTATAATACGGAAGCAATAATTGAAACGAAGCTTAAGTTAACCCTTTGTCTACTGACAGGCATTTAGATACAAATAGCATTGACGGTGGTTAAAGTATCAACAGAGAAATTGTTAAAACTTCGTTTACAAGTTGAGGAATGTTAGCACTTTACCTACTGAACGCTCACAAGTTGCCAGGCATTATGAACAACTGCATTGAAGACGGTTAGTGTATCAGGAGACAAAGGGTTAACAGATCGTCTCCTGGCGCCCAACTTTTTACTCGGTTTTCAGGTACAAATAGCATTGACTACGGGTTAAGTATCTGCGTACAAAGGTTAACACTTATTCTATTGAATGCCCACCAGCAATCAGGCCTTCAGGTACGAATAGCATTGTTGACGCTCAATGTACCAGCAGACAAAAAGTTAAGCCGAGCAGGCCGCACTAACCGAGTTCGGACGACGACGTGCGGCTGAGGTCGATGGGTTCGGCGGACCAGAGGGTGAGGCCGGTGCGCTCGTCCTGAGTGACGGACAAGCCAGGGAGTCAGGGTATATAAGTCGGATACAAACTACCAAGCTTTGATGGAATGGTAATTAGTTGATCTCATATTTATGGAACAGTAATTAGTTGAGCCCATATTGAAGGAACAGTACAGTAATTAGTTTTACCCACATTGATGGGCCACTAATTAGTTGAACCCACATTGCTGGGACAGTAATTAGTTGAATCTACATTGATAGAACAGTAATTAGTTGAACCCACATTGCTGGGACAGTAATTAGTTGAACCCATATTGATGAGTTATAAGTTTGCTGATACCGAGGACTGATATTTAAGAAATCTAAAGACTGCTTATTAGCACAATGTTCCGAGTGTAGCGTTCTAGTCATGGTCGAAAAGATGGAATATCCAGTCAAAACTGCACCAAGATATTGAAACAACTTCAACATATTGATACAACTAGAACATTTAAATGATATTAACATTTTGAAACAGAATAATCACAGAGACATGGCTTAAACTATAGGCTATATAGGATTGCTCTATGTGTAGCTGTTAATTTGCAATTTTACTTATGTGTATAAATACAAGGAACTACATAGCAACTAAAATATCTATAGAATACGTGCTTTGAACTGCACCACGAGGCACATCAATAAACAATAAGAAATTCAAAGGACGTCAAAAGTCGCGTAGTCATGTACAGTTCCGAGTTCCGATAAACACGAGGATGATTCCTGTAACAGAAGCATATGAATATTGTTTGAGTACGTAGTCAAGCAACACAAAATGATATGAAACCTTCAACAAGTGCAGTTCTTTTCAATATTAAATTCTCAATTGTCAGTGAGCGCAAAAAGAAGCAACTCATCGAAACGAGATCTCGCAGCATTTGGCCACCAAAAAATTAAAATAATATATCAATTGATCAAATTTTAAATAGTAAATTGTATGGCACAATAGTAACCAAAATTTTCCACATTTATAGTCGACTGTACCCTATAACCAAACACAACGTTGACTGTAACCCGAATCCGAATCTTTAAAATAGACTGTACACCATAAGCTAATTTTTTAGTTGACTGTACTCTAAAACCAAAGCATCCTTCATAATAAACTGTAGATCATAACCTAAGCTTTTAGTGGTCTAGATTCTTAAAGCGATGTTTTATAATCGAAATGTACCACGTGACCGAAGTTTTGTACATGACTGTCTCCATAACCGATGCTTTATGAACGACAGTTTTCCATGGCCGAAGATTTATAGCCTAGTACCTAGTAACCGGAAGTTTGGTGTCACCGAGTACACTTCCAGTTACTCTTATAAACGGTTATTCATAATAAGCGAAGTTGCATTTTAGGAATATCCGTCTAACAGTTAGGCTATATCTTTATGCATTATATGAAATCTATGAACGAAGAATAGCAAAGCCGACAAAAAACAAAAGAGATTTGGTCCGATAAAATATAGACCGCTTCGTATTACATGGCAAGGGTCGTCACGTGGCCTCATGTCTCGCCGGACTTTGCTGCCTCATGACATTATTTACATTCTTGATCGAGGCAATACCAGTTGAATCGCAATTTAACACTTAATCTGCAATTAAATGTTAAATATCAGTCGATATTCTGACACAAATGTATATTGTATAGCCACAGGAATCGCAGCTTTTTGTCCCAGGCATCTTTTTTGACATGAGCATAATGCGAGTGCAAATTTGATCGACTACCGACTATCGCACATGACTGTAGCCCTGAGAATTATAATGTGAGATTAGAATAAGAAGAACAATAAGAAGAACTTTGAGAATACTTATTCGTTAATATTTAAACGTTAAATGAATCGTTGCACATCGTTCCGATATCACTCTAAACAAGTCCCATTCTGACGCACATTGAACTTCTGTAATAAAACAAACTGAGAAGGTTTGAATATAGCAAAGTGTTTACAATCTCTTGCGTGTCGCAGGATGAAGACACTGTTGCTATATCGTCCCATGTCTAGGCTGTTTTAGACAACGAACGATCGAAGATCCGTGGCTGTGGTCACGCAAATCTTCTAAATAACTCACGCAATTGTGATGGCATGACGGAGACTTGCGCACTGCTCAAATCTCAGCTGCACATTCAATCACAGGTTTCATTTTAAACATGCAAAACATTTATAAAATTAAGACTTGAAATCTAAATTCATTTATTTGTGATCAAAACTCTAGCTGAAATTGGTGATGTCTTGTGGTACATGGAATGTAAATCCTGCACATGATTTCAATTTTTTTTCATGCAGATCTAAAAAGCCAGTCAAAAATACACGACGTTTGAGTCAGAAGAAATGCATTCGAAAATCTTGTAATAAATTAACATCACGGAGCAGAAATTTCCTCACTAGTCCCACTCATTTTTTTGCTTCATTAATTTTTAACAACCCAAGATGTCTCATATTTGTTAGTATTGATGCGACCGAATTTGTAACTTTTTTATGGCACTCATTTCCAGCTTTTGGTTGTGCGTTTGTGGGTTGAATTTTTGCGGGTAAATTTTATGCGCAATTTTATAATTTATTTGCTTTTTATGTTATCCTTTTTTAATTCAGTTTTTGTAACATGATGTTTAAAGCTTTAAAAATCCATTTAAGCCTAGCACAATTATTGTACATAACACTAGTACGTGAGGAGATAAAATTACTCAACTGAGCATTTTATACTTATTACTTCTCAGTGTAGGAAAAATATGCTGCAGGCATTGTTCCTGCTGGCAAAATCTATTGCTGGTATTATTCCTGCTTACCGCTGGCAAAATCCGGGGCTGCTTTGTTCCTTCTCACTCCCAACAATATTTTCTAGGAGCCAAACTTTCACCTGAAGCAAGCAAGCGCAATAAATCCTAGTCATTTTATGGCTGCGCTTAGCATGCACATTGCATCGATTGCAACGGACAACCGTCGCTCTGGCCTTGAACTTCGTTGCATCTAATCAGAGTCGTCGCGCTGGACGCGGTCGCCTTCACTCATACGGCAGCCGTTGTACTGGCTCAAGATATACACAAACCTTGGCTTACACTGTGAACAGTTGTAATCAGCTTAGTTGCAGGGTTTAGTCTCTTAGAATATTCTAGTGAATCGTTAATTTCTTTCAACTGAAGATGTAGTTTTTTTGGGAGGTGTGATTTTCGATTTTTAGAATGTATGATAGTGCGCTTGGATGGTTGATTTAAATGTGTGAACCGGATACCCCAATTGCATTTCCGTGTTTACGATACAAGTATGTACTCCAAAAGTTAATGATTACATCATTAGTATGAGTGTTCTGGCTCGGAAATTTTTTCTCGTATCATGCACGTAAAGCAAAGTATGGTTTATTATCTTGGAATGGATGCTAATGCGATTAAATTAGTTAACACGATGCGTGGCCTTGTAACAAGATTTTTATTTAACTCACTCTACCCATTTACATCTAGCACTTCGCCCCCTACTTCCCTACTTCTGGTTACCAACACTTGACTCCCAATAATGACTTAAAATAATCATGAACAGAATCACATCAAATTATCATGGATAAGTAAACAACGAAAACTTCCGTAATTAATACCCCACTTACCGCTTTCGAAAATCATCAGCATTCAGATAAAACATGGATATGGTAGACTGCCCTCGGCCACATCTAGGAAGTAGCAGTACAAAACATGCAATCCTAGGGAAGGGTGCAGTGCGCATGGCGTGTCGTAAGAGGAGCTGGCCCCAGCAATCGGGGCAATCTTTATAATTGCTCGCACACAGATTACCAACTCCGCAGTTCAAAGAAAAGTATGACGCGATAAAATTGAATTTGATTTATGGTTTCTATTTCCATGCTCCTATGGTTCTCAAAATAGATCGATAAATTACGTTTAGTTCGTTAATGATTGATGTAATTGATGTTTAAGTGACTTCAAACGCTGAAATTTTGCAGTATTGTATTCAGTGTACTTTTCTTTGTATAATGCGAGATAATGAGCTACCTTGGTATATTATCTAGTGGTGTTTAAACTGGGGGTAAGGTAAACCATTCAGATAAATGATAAACATGTAGGGCTAGTGTAGGGCTCGTGTAGGACTCGTGTAGGGCTAGTGTAGGGCTCGTGTAGGGCTCGCGTAGGGCTCGTGTAGGGCTCGCGTAGGGCTCGTGAAGGGCTCGTGTAGGACTCGTGCAGGGCTCGTGTAGGGCTTGTGTAGGGCTCGTGTAGGGCTTATGTGGGGGTTCCTCGTGAAATCGAGGCTGAAGAGAAGCAAATGTTGCGGCAACTCCTCAGTCCCTCGCCCTTCAAGGCAGCACAACGAAGGACAGCCTGGCAATCAGGACGTCGGGGGCTCTTGCTGCTTCAATCCTTTGTGCGAGGCCCACTTGTTTATTAAGGGCCGGGATATTAGCGGCCAAAAGATGGATGTTGGTTGGCCGCTCACGAGACTGATAGGATCAGGTTGTTAGGATAGGCAATCTTCCATCCTGCGACGCAGCATATCGACTAAAACCGTCAGCGCAACTCAATGCATCGCTTAATTTATGATTTATATCTAAATTTAAGGCGGAATCCAATCAACCAGCAGTTTGAGTGGGCAGCGGAACTGGAGGAAGAATTCTCTTCAACTTAAGAAATTTATGCTATCAAAAATTAGTCTCATTCACTAATTATAGAAGTAATTTTCTCTGATTTTGATCGCAGTTCAAAAATATAGAAGTAAACTGCGAGTTCGTCGCTTACTCACGATCTTGCAGTCAAAATGAAGATTTTTGAACTATTTTGATTAACTGAACATCACAAGGCACGACTGCAGGTTCCCAAGCATGAAAATTTATCATTAAAAACAAGTTTGCACCGTCATTGCTGATATAAATAACCCGGAATCATGCATGAAAAACCTTTGAGAGCGTCTAATTTGTTGGTTCATACCATTATTGCGATAGGAGGGTCTGTAATTAACGATGAGTAACCATGATGAGACAAATTGCCTCATCATGGTTACTTATAAAATATACTTCTCG